AGTATGTGTGAACTGCTGTATAAAAAGTGAATTTACTCTGTAAATCTTCACCCAAATCCTAATAAAAAAAAAAAAAAAAAAAAAAGTTCATTTTAAAATAGTTGTCCTTTTCCAAGTATCAGCGCTGTGATGAGTAGTAGTCTGGGTTTTTAGTAAGTTTCATAGTTTTCATTTTTCCTCCAGAGGAAGCACTGTTTATTTTCATTATTTTTAAAAAAATAATATTTTATTATCTTTTCAGTGAAGGTTTACACAGAGTTTAGGTTCCCATCAACAATTTCTATACAGGTTGTGTACATTCTTTACAATACATGAACATTCTCATTATTTCCATTTGGTTGTTACATTTCCATTAATCCAGTTTCCCTATACCCTTCCATTCTCATCTTTGTTTTAAAGTAATTGTTGAAGGTTGCTGAGTGATGCAGATGGTCTACACTTGGCTAGTAACTCAGAGGTACCATTCAGTGGTACTGGAGATGATCCAGGCCTGGCGAATGGCTTCTGTAAAGATTACTGCCATACAGAGTCTCTCCAAATTAACACATAAGCAAATACTTAAAGTAATTGTTGACTGTATAGTCTCACATGTGTAATTTTTTTAAAGGAAAACAGTGCTTATGATAGTGTTCATTATTTTTTAGCCAATTTGTTACTTAAGTACAAGGTGACCTCGTGGTTAGTTTCAGTTTAAAGTTGAAGAGCATCTTAGGGCAATAGTTCAGAGAGTCCTCAAGTCTAACCAGTCCAGTGGGGTGTTTTTTTATTATTATTATTTTAAGGAATTTGAGGCTCTGTTTCACATTTTTCTCCCACTCTAGGCACTATTTATTTTCCTATGCAAGTATTTAATGACTGCCTAGTAATATTCCAGGCACTGTGCTAGGTACCTGAACATGCTGGTGAGAGCTCAGGATCCTGTCCTGTGGAGGGGAGACAGACAGCAAGCAAACAGATACAAAAATCATGTAATTGCCAAATGAGATTTGTGCAAAAAAGACATGGTGTGCTGAATAATGGCAAGGGTGGGGTGGGAGGGAGGTTTCCTACTTGAAAGACTTTGGTTAGGGAAACCCTTTCTGAAAAGATGTTTAGTGAAGCCTGATGGATGAAAAATAAAAACTGAAAAATTAGCCTTGCTTGTGGTGTGTCCAAACAGGGATAGGATGGAGCTTGGTGTGGTGAAGAACAGAAATGAGAGAAGTGTGTCTGAATTGATATCTGGGAGATTGCCCAAGGACAGGCAGGGTCTTTCAGACACAAGGAGGGGTTTGAGTGTGAAGTGACATGGGAACTACTGAAGGATTTTCAGTAGGGGAGGGACCCGATTTGATCTGTTTTCCTACATAGTCACTCCGGCTGTTCCATGCAGAATGGACTAGATAACCATGCATGCAGCAAGGAAGCCATTGCAGCTCTAGGTAGAGCTTTGGCAGTGGTGGTGTGGATTAGGATGGTGATAGTGAAGATGGAAAGAAGTGTACAGCCAAGGCGATGTTGAAGTTGCAAACAGGGTTTGGCTGATAGATTGGATATGGAGGAGGACCCAAAGGAGAAGTCAGGGACACAGTCAGAAAAATTCTGATTTTAGAAACTGAATGGATAGTGGTATCACTTCCTGTGCTGGAATGGAACTGGAACTAGAAACCAAAGAGTTCTGTTTTATAAATGTTAAGTGTGACATGTTAGGCAGTCACCTGGAGATGCTGTATTGATAATTGGATTTGTAAGTAGGTCTCAGAAGTCATCTAAGCTAGAGAAATTTGAGTCAAGAATATTGATAAGAAAGAGAGCCTAGGACCAAATCCTAAGGAACTCCAATACTTACAGGGTAGATTAAGAAGAATGATCTGAAGTGGCAAATGGGAGAGGAGAAAAATTAGGAGTGATGGAAGCCAGATTGAAGGTAAAGAAATGGAGATGGTGTTAAAGATGCCTTTTGAGAAGTATGGATGTAGAGAAGAACAAACAGTGGGATACTAGCTAAAAGGGTTGTGTGTCCTATTTTGGTTTGGTTTTGTAAGATGAGAGATGCTGGAGCATATTTTATTTTGCTAATGGGAAAAATATAACAAAGAAGGAAAGATTGATAACGCAGCGGAGAGAGTGAGAGAAAACCCTTGAGAATGAGAGAATGGATAAGATGTGCTCAAGAGCTCAGTTGAGATAGTTGGAGCAACATTTCCTTCTTACTAATGGGTGGAGAGCAGATGATGAGCGCCGGTGTAGTGATGATTGTAGATCAGTGGTTGACAGGTGAGGGTGTGCCCACCAAATGACTTCTCTGTTCCTAGGATGGAGAGTGGAGGAGGCTGTTTAAGAGAGAGGAGAAGATATGGAACCCAGAAAGAATGAGAATAGAATTGCTGAGTGCCTCAGTGCCCATGTAGGCTTTGTGATAGCTCCCTTTACCTCATCCTTCTTCATAAATTGTCAGAGGTATCTTATGTTCTATGGAAGAATGTCAAGATTTTTAAAAGAAGATCCACCCTTGCCTAACAAGCTTATCACCACTCCATCTGTCAGTTTGACACACTGTGGTGATTCTCATGTTGCTGTGATGGCGGAAGCTATGCCACCAGTGTTTGAAATATCAACAGGGTCATGCATTTTGGACAGTTTTCAGTGGAGCCTGTAAAGACAGACAAGGAGGAAAAGTCTGATGATCTACTGCTGAAAATTAGCCAGTAAAAACTTGTGGATTACAACAGAACATTTTCTAACTCACTTGCTTTGTACATGTCATCAGGCGGGATCAATTGCTAGAGGAAAGCATCATATTTGGTGAAATAAAGGGCCAGCAGAGGCAAGAGAGACCCTCAGTTATGGATTGGCACAATGGCCACAAAGTGGATTTGAACATGCCATTGATTATGAAGATGGTATGGGACCAGGCAGTGTTTTATTCTTTTGTCTGTAAGGTCACCGTGAGTTGAAGTCAAGTCAACAGCAGCTATCTAGTTCTCTCTAACAATGTTACCTCTTTATTGTCATTGCAACATGATTCAGATAGAATAACTTCTCTCACATGTGTTCAGATATTGGTAAGTCATTTCTTTTAAAAGCAATGTCTGTCCCTGTGTCATAGTTTATAAAACAAAGATAAGTGCTTGTTTATGGGAAAGTAGTGTTCAGTAGTAAAGGCTCTTGATTTTAATTCTTTCAGGTCTGTGACAAGAAGTTATTATAGAGGTGCAGCCGGGGCCCTCCTTGTCTATGACATTACCAGGTAATGCACACCCCATCCTGGAAGGTGCTGCTTACCACTCTGCTTCCTGCAGTCTGCACTTGGAGTTTGACATGCTTGAGCTCCATTTCCATCTGCGTGCAGTGTGTGTGTGTGTTCTAGGTATGCAGGTGTGGGCAGCATTACCTGGCATTCAGGAAAACTACTGGCCACTTTCATTTTGTGTCTTAGATGTCTGTGAAGTAGCACCTACCACTGCTTTACCATGAAAGAAATAGGACTGTATGGTTTCAGCAGGTAAAGCAATCCTTAATGTTTCATTATGTTTCTTAGCATGATGCTTTGACATTGTCCTTAAAGTTCAAGAAGCAAAGCTTTATGTCTGGTAAGTTTTCAGAAGTATGTTGCTGGAAGTTTAGAGCACACCGACTGAACTTAGGCTGCCTGGGTTTAAATCTCAGCTCCCTAGTTACTAGCTGTGTTACCTCTTCAGATAAGTTACTTGACCTGTCTAGGCCATAGTTTCCTTGTCTGTAAAATGAAGATGATCATTATAGTGTAATTCTTATGAGGTTATTGGAAGATTTAAATTAGTTAATATAAAGCACTTAAGGAACTCTGGTGGCATGGTGCCTAAAGCACTTACTTGACTGCTAACCAGGAGGTTGGTGGTTCAAATCTGCCAGCCACTCCATGGAAGGAAGACTGGGCAGTCTACTTCCGTAAAGATTTACAACCTCGGAAACTCAATGGGGGTCATTATATGGGTCACAATGGACTTGATGGCACTGAGTTTGATTTTTTTGGTTTATAAAGCTCTTGGCACATCATAAGCATTGTAAATCTGCGCTGTCCAATACGGTAGCTGTTAGCCATGTATCTACTGACATCAAGTTGATTCTGACTCATAACAACCCTATAGGACAGATTAGAACTGCCACGTAAGGTTTCCAAGGTTGTAAATCTTTATGGAAGCAGACTGCCAAATCTTTCAGCACCTGGTGGATTTAAACCGCCAACCTTTCTGTTAGCAGTCGACCATTTAACCACCGCACCACCAGGGCAAATTCCTTAAATGTATACAAGAGTAGGAAATAAAAGGCACCAAGAGTCAGTCCTGGAGATGGGTAGACCTGGTCAAAGCCTGGCTCTGGCTCTGCCACTGACCACTGTATGACTTTAAGCTATGCAGTTTATCTCTGTGGGCCTTGGATCTCTCATGTAAAAGGGAAGTAGTAATGGAATCTGTGTCAGAGCCTCTATAAAGAATCAGTGTGATAAATTCCTATAAAACTAAGTACCAGGCACATTGCAAAGATTTGTTAAATAACAACAATAAGCAACTAAATCCTGTTTACCCAGAGCCTAGCACTATACCTTGCACACACTGAAAGCTCAATAAATACAGGTATGTGCTGCATAACATCCCTTTGTACCGTGGCTGACCTCATATACATTCATGGAGCAGGGAGGAGGGGCTTGCTTACAAGGGCTCCAGGAAGCAGGCAGCACAGAATTTGTGGCACCACAAATTGGCTACTGTGGCTTAGCTGCAGCTGGCAAGCCACATGGCAGTTTATAGCCCCTGAGCCACAGCACCTCCTGTGACTGTTGCTGGCAAGTGCCCTACCTAGCCGCCTCACAGGTAGGTATCTGCAGGGAGACACTGGGCTACAGCTGTTCCGCTCTGTCTCTCAGAACTTCCAATTCTGACCAGGCTCCCCTGGGTCTGCTTGAAGAGCCTACATACCCAGAGGCAGCCAATTACATGTTTGCAAACCCCAAAGCAAGCTTCTGCCAAGATTACTTTGATATGTATGCATCGAATATATACAAACATACAAACTGTCTGTGATAGGATGTTCACATAGCATCAAAAAATCAAAATCACATAATGTCCTGTTTCACAGAACATATGGTGGATGTTAAGATATGAACAGGGTGCATGCCTATATTTGTAAAGCTAATGAAGAAGATTCTGTTGATTTCTTTTTGTACCATAATTGTGTAAACAAGTAAAATACCCGACTCAGTGTCTCACTTTTCTGGAAACAATAACAAATCACATGGGTGTGGTATGTTCTGGTTACTGGGTCACCACGAAGGTGCTGTTGGCATTGCCCTGACAGGTCTAAAAGTAGGGTGAGTAGTGTGATTGACTGGAAAAGATTGCTAGTTTTATAAAATACACATATTATTTTCACAATCTTATATTATGCAGCCGTGAAACCTACAATGCGCTTACTAATTGGTTAACAGATGCCAGAATGCTAGCAAGTCAAAACATTGTGATCATCCTCTGTGGAAACAAGAAGGATCTGGATGCAGATCGTGAAGTTACTTTCTTAGAGGCCTCCAGATTCGCTCAAGAAAATGGCAAGTGACCTTTTACATCTCATTTTTTCTTAGAATACTGCAGGTTTGGGGATAATTTATTTGGGTTTTAAACATGTACTGGTGTTTCACAATTAAATATCATTTAGGACATGTGGAACTTCCAATTATTTTTACTATAAATTTAGACTTACTTAGCATCTCTTTGGTATATTTTGCATTCTGTCTATAATAGTTACTATAATGATAAAAGTAAATATAAGTCATTTGATTATAGATACCTTTGAAACTACTCTGAATTTCCATATAGAATTCATAAGAATTCCACAAAGTTAATGGTTTCTTATAGATAACAGAATGATAAAAATTCAGACATTTTAAATAACTTGAATTTTTAGAACCAATCAAAAACTAGAATATCCTAATACACGAGTAGTCAATTGGACTCTAAGATTACAAAATTATATTTTTACAGGTTGACTAGTTTACTGTCAAGAAATAAACGTGAAAGAAAAACATAAGCCTTATAAGCGTTTGTAAAGAAGCTATTTAGAAGTACAAAAAAGCATAAAAAGTTGAAACCAAAGGAATTTAGATGTAATTTAATTGAGCCTCAATTTTGCAAGTAAGGAAACAACAGGCAAGACAGGTTGTTGGTTTGCCTAAGATAGCAAGCAGAACATTTAAGACTTCTTCAGGGTCTAAATTACAAGCAGACAAACCAATGAAGTCCCAAAGTGTACATACTTCTGTTTGTAGTGATACATAGATTATCTGGTGAAGCAAATTGCTAGTTCATCTTAAATTGGCAACTTGTCTACTTTCACCAGCCTGCCCCGTGACTGACTCCAGGTAACTCAGACTATGAAAGTGTTTTTGCTTACTCAGTTTCTTAAACAGATTTAAATACTAGCATAAAATAGTAATTACTTTCAGAGAAGGTTAGAATTCTTCTAACATTTTAAAAAATATCTTGACATTCATTCCATATTCGTAGAAATGTATGGTTTTAGGTCATAAATTTCATTTAACTTGCTGCTTTAAGAACATTAAACAGAGTTTTGTAGTTCAAAAATTAAGATATCTTCTAAATACGGCTGTTTTGTTTGATGTCAATTTTAGAGCTGATGTTTCTGGAAACAAGTGCACTAACGGGGGAGAATGTAGAAGAGGCCTTTGTGCAGTGTGCAAGAAAAATACTTAACAAAATTGAGTCAGGTAAAAGGTTTTCCATCACTTAATATTTTCAGGAATGATTTGGTAAAAAAAGAAGAACAAAAAAACCTCTGTACATATGCCAGCCTAAAATTGCTATTTACTGCTTTGAAGATCACACCCCTCAATGCTCAGTTTTGTGTGTGATTACAACAACCCCAACAATGACAAGAGATAAATAAACCAGTTAAACTGATGGTGGGAAGTCAAAATTTCAGATAGCGTTTCTTTTTAGAACCGTAGCCATTTTGGGATTTGTCATTTAACATGAAGAAAAAATGTAGCTTTGTCCGCTCTCTTTCAACAACATTCTTACTCTGTTGAACTAGTTGTCATGTGTAGTGCCTAGGGGATTATGCTAACAGGATTATGAATAAATTATTAATGTTGGTAGATCCAGGTTGGGACAATCATAGAGCTGTGCAATAAAACGTAATTTTATTCCTGAAGCTGCCTGGTCATGCCTAAATTGTAATCTACCTTGTTATGGTTGTATTCATTGCTTCAGTAAAATTAAATGTAAATAACCCTTAATTTAGGCAGCTGACAAAGTACTATGTAGTTGTCATTTTTTAAAGTTGATTTTTATTTAAATATTACCAAAATTACAGGTGGGCATTCACCTTTTATTCAAATGTGTGAGTGCCTATTATTTGTTAGACACTAAGGGTTGCTATGAATTTGAATCAACTTGGTGGCAGTAGGTTTTTTTGGGGGGTGTAAGATACAAAAAGAATAAATCACTGCCCTTTCCAGGAAGAAACTATCTTTCGAGGGAGATGATCAAAAAATAATTAGAATGTAGTGTGATAGATTCAGTAATTGAGAGATGCACAGGATCTTATGGTAGCCTGAAGAAGAGAAAGCTAGCCCGGCATGGAGGTGGAGAGCATGTCGGAGAGGATTTCCAGGAAGGGTTGATGAGTGAGCTTGATCTTTTAAAATACAGGGAAGAGTAAGCCAGCCAACAGAGTGGGAAGGAAAGCACTTGAGCAGAGAAGACAGAATGAGTTGTGATTGATAGAAAATGACAGAAAGTTTGAAGTTACTAGAATAGAAAGGGTAAGGCACGGGGTAGCAGGAGAAAAGGTTAAAGAAAGGCAGGAGTGAGGTCAGCATTCCTCAGCTAGGAGCTGGAACTTTATCTAGTTGGTTACTGATCCTCAATCTGGCTTCACATGAAGTCACTAGGGATGCATTCAGAAATCATCACAGATTCAGAATTAATTGACATAGAGGATGGCCTAGACCTCAGTCTTTATAAAAGCTCTCCCATGTGATTCTAATGGTCATCCAAAATTGAGAACCACTGCTGGAAGGGGTGGGAAGCCATTCAAGGGTGGTAAGCAGGGAAGTAATATGGTTAGATTGTAGTGTAAGATGAGTCATATATGTAAGTGTCTATATTGAGGATAGACTGAAGGGAGAACAGGGTGCAAGCCAGATACCAATTAAATCTTTTTGAATAAACTAAGTAAAAGATGACTGATTAAAGCTCTAACAAGGATGTAGAAGTAGAGATGAGAGATATAGATGAATCTAAGAATTAGGTAATAGCATCAGTAAGAAAGGATGGTTGATTGCAGGGTTTGTGTTCAGGAAAGGAGGAGGAGCCAAGGACAACTTGTGGATGTCACACTAGGTAACTACTGGGTAAAGAGATACCACTGAGCCAGGAGATGCAAAAGGAAAATTAGGTATAAGGTGTGTTGCCTTTGCAGTAACGCTTGAGCATCCACATGCAGTTATCTCATAAGCTTTTGGGGGAATTCTGGGCTGGCAATATAAATGTGGTAGTCATCAATATATCAGAGTAGTTGGAGTTAGGAGAAGGAATGTGATCACTCAGAGTCTAGAGGGAGAAGACTAGGATTTAAGGATGACAGAGGAAGAGGAGCCTGCAAAAGAACCAGAGAAGAAAATGGTCAGAGGTGTGTAAAGAGAACCAAGAGAAAGGCAGATGACATTTAACCCACAATTTTAGGAGAAGAAAAGAGGAGGTTCATTATCAAATGCAATAGAAGTCCAATAAGCTAAAAACTGAGCTGAAAAGTATCCACTGGCGTGCAGTACAGGATGTCTTTTGTTATCTTTATCAAGAACACATATTGCCACTGATTAAGCAACAAATTGTTGTTGTTAGCCCCAGTTCATGGAGACCTTACGTATTACAGAACAAAACATGAAACACGGTCATTAGTATGTTTGAGTCCATTGTTGCGGCTATTGTGTCAGTGCATCTCATGGAGGGTTTCCCTAATTTTCACTGATTCTCTACTTTACCAAACATGGTGTCCCTTTCTAGCAGTCAGACTTTGCTGATGACTTATCCATGAGTAAGGGAGTTGAGATCTTGCCATCCTCACTTCTAAGGGACATTCCAGTTATATTTCTTCTAGGACTGATCTTTTAATTCCTTTGGAAGTCCACACTATATTTAATATTCTTCACCAACAACACAATTTGAATGCATCAATTCTCTGTCTTCCTTTTTCATTGTAACACAGGATTAATTTAAAAGATGGGTTGGGGGATGAAAGAAATTTTAGCATGTTTAGATATTGGGAGACAGAAGGGAAAGACAAAGGAGAGAAGGACCAGGAGAGGGGAAGACAGAAAGAAAATAGGGTACTGGGTGAAGTAGGAGAGAGAAGGTTAAGGGCCCAAGTGGAAGGATTGGGTCCCTACAGGAAGAAGACATTTCATCCTTTTATATTTTTTCAGTCTGAAGACAAAAATAAATTTACTAAACTTGGTACAAGAACTATTATTTTTGAAGATTCTGTAGTCTTTAACATTAAAGTTGGTTTAGTGTTAAGTTCAACAGGAGGTTTTATTTAAATTACCTCACTGCTTTACTGTTGCATAATAAGTTGACCATGTAAAATTTTTCAAGATAATTTCTTGTGAGATAATCAAAATCATAATTACATCTAGGAGAGAAAATATAAGGGTATAAAAGGAATCTTAAATAGTGCTTTTTTATTTCAAATAGTCAATACATTCACATGGTTCAAAAACCATTGTTTCTCCCCCTCTTTGTATATGTCTATGTGTGTGAAATATGAAATACTATAATTCCACTGTGTGTGTTACCATAATTAACCAGTCTACTTTGGACAGTTGGGTTATTGCCAGTGTTTTTCTATTACAAACAACACTGCAGGAAATCACCTGTTACATCTCATTTCACATATATGTACAGGACAAATTCTCAGAAGTGGAACTGCTGGCTAAAAGAACACATGTATTTGAATTTAGATAGAGTTTATTTAGATAAGAGTTTGTCAGATTGCCTTCTGTCAGGGTTGGAGCAATTAATAATCACAGTAGTAAAGAATGAAAGTGACTGTTCACTAAAGCCATGCCAGCAGAGTATGTTATCATATGTGGATTTTACCAATCTGATAAGTGAAAAATTATATCTCTATAGTTTTAATTACGCTTGTATATATAATCTATAGATAATTCCATATACAAAGAGCGCAAGAGTATACAGTGTGAAGTTACCTTTCACCACCACCCCTCCTTGATCCTGTAACCATCCAAAATCCCTTGAAGCCAACTATTATTACCAGTTTTTATGTATCCTCCCAGAGGCATTTTACGCTTGTGCAGGTAAACATCTATGTGTATATAGTGTGTTTCCTTGTTCTTTAAAATGGTGGCATGTGTACACTGTTCTCCACCTTCCTTTATTTCACTTAATACATTTTGGAGATTACAGAAGCATAAAAACTTTTTTTAATGAATACTTGATTGGTTCTCAGGTGAACTGGATCCAGAAAGAATGGGGTCAGGTATCCAGTATGGAGATGCAGCCTTGAGACAGCTCAGGTCCCCACGTCGAGCACAGGCCCAGAGCGCTCAAGAATGTGGTTGTTAAATATCAGCACTAGGGCAAACAAGGTGAGTGCTGGCAGTGTGAAGTATCTGTTTGCCCTTCTGATGCTGTGCTCATCTTTTTTTTTTTTTTCCATACTCTAATTTCTCACATGGGTAATTGTAGAGGCTATATTATAGCTTTTTACAAGTACATTCTGAAAAATAGATGTGATTATATAATTTTAGATGTTCTCATTGAAAGTCTTTAAGTTACATAGGGAATTCTTATACTTTTCTTCAGAAAGAAAGGAAGGACAGTTGTTGATAGGAATGGTTGAGATAGAGATTCCTTTGCTGTTATGACAATGAGGAGTCATCTGTGGGTTAATTAAAATGTCTAAGGGAATGTGCCTTTTCTAAAATAGAAGGCACATTTATAGTATTTGCAAAGGGAGATTTTAACTGTTCAAAGCTCCCTTTTTCCCATTTACCACAGTGGACTTTTTATTTATTGTCAACATTATCTAATAGGAATAGGTATAAGTCCTAAATAAAAGATGGTCATATTCTCTAATTCACTTTTTGGACTGTAAACTATATTTTTATATTTGTAAGTATGCAAATTTTAAATTGTTCTTAATATTTTTTAGGTGTACATACAATGGTATTTGGGACACAATTGTTGGAGCTTGAAGAATCTGAAGTTTTTTTTTTTACCACCATCTTTTTCTACTCAATATAAAAGTAGATCTTTGTGGGGGAAAAATAATTTGGGGTGTTATAGAAGCCAGTAGACATGGCACAGCAAACTATAATAAATCTAACTCAATGGACAATACCATTAAATGTATACATGTATGTAAAAATTTTGTTCCACATTTTCCCTTTTACCTATTGTCTGAAACATAGCTATGTACTGTATATATTCTAGCCCAGTAAGTCTCCACAGCATGGTATGTGGTGTATGACATAATAGAGTGTTGCACTAAATGCAATTTAATATTTTTTTTAATCATATGAACTAAAATTTGTTAATTGTGAGGTACACTTTTATCATCATGTCAATTATATTGCACAATTGGTTATACTTATGACCTGGTATTCAAAAATTCTGTCATTGATTGCCAGTGCATTTCTTAATTCTGTTCACCACATTCTACATAATGTTTACGTGATCCATGCTTGAAATACTAGATCATTAACATACCAAAATAAAATGGAAAATGGAGTTTTTTCAATTAACCTTACATTGTCCAGCTCTCTCTTGCTTTTGAAGTATCTTCATCCAAGTTAATTCAGGAAATATATAATGAGTATTGAGTACCTGCCCTGTTCCAGGCATGTGATCAGTACTAAGGACTCTAATACCTTTAACCAAACTTACCAGGCAACCCCAGCTATTGATAAAGTGTGATAGACCATATAACGTGGGACTGCTCACCTGTTTCCAGTTTGCTGATCTTTCTGGCTCCCTGCTAGAAAATATAGTTTGCTGTTTTGCTTTTTCTGGTATTCAGTTTCATAGCATGAATGCCTCTTTTTAAAATCTTTGATTGTTTTATGCTCATTTTAAAGAAACCCACTAAATCAAGTTAAAATTAACACATCCATCATTAAACAATTTTTTTATAGGTTTTGCTGGATCCTTAAATGCCTTACTGTACTGAGTTGACATTTTTTTAATTCACATAGGGTATATTGAAATATAATATATATTATATTACAAAGACTTGTTCTAATACTTTCAATAATCAATACAAAAAAATATATAATGCAACTTTTCTTTAAAGCTAAGATTCATTATTATTTAAGTCTGAAAGGTGAAAAAGTATTTCTCTTCATGTCATGTGTGTTCTTCCACTATGGCTTTTTCTTAAATGGTAGCTGCAGACTGATTGGTAAGCTTACTTAACTTTTAGTTAGATGCTGCCTATTACTTTTGTTGTTTTGTTTTGATCAACAGAGCACAGAAGCACATATAACTCTGAGGTGTGACTTTGATAAAAAAAAAATCCGTATGTATCTGTTTTTAAGTTTTGCTTTTTTTATGCCTTGAATGTTTTGAAAAGTCACTATCTGAAGCAAATTCTCAGACTGAACTACTTCTTGGATGTCACTGGAAGAATTTTTCACTTAATGTCTCATTTATGATGGCTTTTCCAGCTACTCATTTCTGAACAGATTTTTGCTTGAGATAGGAGCATGTCTAGTGTAACAAAGTAAGAATTTTTTTAAATGAGGTAAATTTAAATCTGGTTTATAAATGAGCCTGTTAATTAAACCCCAGGTACCACGTTTCATTTCATATCCTTTGATCAATGAAAGTAGGGAAACAAACCATGATGGTTGTTAATAAGGGCTCTTGCCTTTAAGAACAATGAAGAAGTGAGATAATTAGATACTGCTCAGTTTAGTAACAAATGTTATATATGTTTCCCATTACTTACATTTTCAGGAAGCTCTTACTTTACATTTCTAGAAAAAGTAATTTTGCAGTCTTCCCAGAAAAAGATTATGAAGTGATTTAGACTTGAAATTGTAATTTATTCTTTTTACAATCCAGCATTTAAATGAAAACAAGAACATTGCAATTTGAGAGTCTCTAATGGTTTTGTAAGGAGCCCTGGTGGTACAATGGTTAAGCAATTGGCTGCTAACCAAAAGGTCAGTGGTTTGAACCCACCAGCTGCTCCGTGAGATAAAGATGTGGCAGTCTACTTATCCAAAGATTACAGCTTGGAAACTCTAGGGGTACAGTTCTACACTGCCCTTGCAGGTCACTATGAATCAGAATTGACTCTGGCAACATTTTTGTTTTTATCTTAATGGTTTTGTTGAAAGGCTATTACTTATGGCTTGCTGAAATTATGCTTGAGTTGCTGAAATCTTTAAGAATATTGATTCCTAGTTGATTGACACTATTTGTTATTCAGAGTAAAGCCCCTGATGCTAAAATTAGAAACTTAGATGGTTTGTAATCCATACTGTGACATAGTAAATGGTTCTTCATTTTTGTCATTTTTGCCCTCAATTTGGAGGAAAGAATTGGAGGGGGTTAAACACTTGTGAGTTTTTAATATTTTTATGCCAGTTTTGAGTCTCTACTAATCTGACTACCCATGTACATATAATCTGAGCTTGTCCCATTTGTTATTTGTTAGTTCCTAATTGTTTTAACTTCCTTAAAATTGTTTAGAATTTTAAAGGAATTTATCAGAGAACACTAGACTTACCAGTTTCAGTGAGACGGAGGTAAGGCTGAGCCATCACTTGCTAAGGCTAGGTAATACTGCTTACTGGTAGAAAGTCATGTGATTAGGCAATTTTTTTCTTTTCTTTTAAAATAGCATTTATGTACTTTTACATTTGTATCATATAAATTTTCAAACATACACGAACAGAAAATTGTTGCTGTTGTTAAGTGCCATGGAGTTGGACCCGACTCATAGCGACCCCTCCTTGGGTTTCCGAGGCAATATCACTACAGAAGTAGTGATATTCCGAGGAGTGGCTGGTAGTATAACAAACATCTTCCTTCCGAGGAGTGGCTCTTCTGAGGGTTCTGTATTCTAAAATATGGAAACAATTATGTTTACTAAATATTAAGAGCCAACTAATTATGTATGGTCAGGACATTAGACGACGTGTAGCATTGGGAAAGTCAACTGCGAAGGAACTGTTTCAAGTGCTGAGGAGCAAGGATATCTCCTTGAGGACAAAGGTGCGCCTGACACAAGCCATGATATTTCCAATCACCTTGTATGCATGTGAGAGCTGGACAATGAATAGGGAAGACCGAAGAAGAGTTGATGCTTTTGAGTTGTGGTGCTGGCGAAGAATGCTGAAAGTACCATGGACTGCTAAAAGAACTAACAGATCTGTCCTGGAGGAAGTGCAGCCAGAATGCTCCTTGGAAGCAAGAATGGCCAGACTTCGTCTCACCTATTTTGGTCATGTTGTAAGAAGGGACCATTCCCTGGAGAAGGATGTCATGCTTGGTAGGGTGGAGGGTCGACGAAAGAGGGGGAGGCCTTCAACGAGATGGATTGATACAGTGGGTGCGATGATGGGCTCGAGTATAGCAGGGATTGTGGGGCTGGTGCGGGATCGGGCAGTGTTTCGTTCTGCTGTGCATGGGGTCGCTATGAGTCGGAAACGACTCGACGGCACTTAACAACAACAACAACAATTATGTATGAGGGTAAAATTCTAAGTTCTGTATTTTTGGTGGGAGCGCTCAGATAACTTTATATTGAATGCAAAATTTTATAATATAAATTCAGGGTAAGTTACCACATTATTCCCTTTTCCAGAAAGATTATTACATCAGTTTCTGTGGCCCTAAATGTATTTACTAAGCTCTCATATGATCCCATTTTCTGGGGAAAATGGTGCTTTTATAGGACACTTACGTGTAGTTCTCCGAACGCTTCCTTGCTTTCTCATTACCTCTGTGCCTTTGCATGGACTGTGCTTCCTTCCCCTGCACTGCACCCAGCCTGCTCTCCAGGTCTGGCAAGCTCAAGTCCTGGTGTCCAACAGGTGCACATAAAGCTGCTCTGCTAAGAAGCCTTTTCTAACCACCCCACCCCACCATACAAATGCAAGCACGTTGCTTCCTGAGTTTGCTACACTAACCTGTCTTTTGGTATTGATGACATTGATCTGTATATTATCCTTATTTTGACTTCTATACTAGACTAAGACCTCTGTGTCCAGTGCCTGGCACATAGGAGAGGTTCAGAAGCTTATAGAAAAGACAGTCTGGCTGTCCTCAAGTCTAAGTAAAACCATTAGTGTTAGAACTGGAAGAGTACTCAGGTGTTACTAGTCCAGCTATCCACACTCCCTTTTGCTAAATCCCCAAAAGGCAGTCTTGTGATCCTGCTTATTTACTTCTGGAAGTAAATGGAGGAAGTTAAGTAACTCCCAGAGCAGCGCACTCTAGTTTTGAAAGTTGGCTATAGTACAGTTACCCAATTATGTTATTTCCAAGGTTGAGAGCTTTTCATGTTTAGGCTACAAATGCTAATGTTTGGATTAGTATTTCTAGGAAATTCTGTCTGTATATTCTTAGTTGACCTCTTTCTAACCTTCACAACATGGCCTGTGGGCACTACCAAGCAAATGCCCAGACTGCCGTATGCTCCATCTAAGCATAATTGGACAATATAAAATTAGGAGGCTGAGGGCTCTCAGAAGCAACTAACATAATATGATCATCTCTAGACCTCTGCTTGAAGGTCTAGGCATGTATCAACTGTTCCAGTATGGTACAATGAGTTATAAATGGTTGGGGATGAAATATGTCAAATAAATCAATTTTGTTCATTACACATGCTCAGTGACAACTGACGAGGCCCTATACTGGAGCAGAAGCCAGAACTCTGATTACATCTTGGAAACTTAGTAATTCTGCCATCTTTTCAAAGAAATATAGAAATGACAAATGATAGTTTTCCTACCTGAATTTTAAAATTAAATGATTTTATCTAGAAGTTTTTAATTTTGTATTCTGTTTAGGTTATTTATACATGTTTTTATCTGATCTTCCAAACTGTAACTATATCTGAGTAATGAGAATTATACTTGAATCTGGAGATATCCTGCTCTGAGGATCTTTGCAGCTACAAGTATGCCTTCTCTTGTTCGTTGTGTTTCTGACTTCTTTTCCAAGTATAGGATTTAATGCCCACTGTTCCTTTTCTCTTTCAAAGAAATATTTTATAGGAGAAATTACTGAACAATTCTTAATATAACAAGCACCTCCTTTTTAATGTGGTTAATTGAAATGTCTACAATAATAAAACTTTGAAGGGGCATGACATATTTTATAGCTTAAAATATTTTCCCATTTAGCAACTCACTGAAACTTCTAAACAGCCCTGTGGTGGTATGCAAAATGGGTATCGTGTGTTGTGCCATTGCACATTTGAGCCACGAGATGCAGAGACTGGCACCAGGCCCCAGACTCCAGTAAGACTTGGGTAAAAAGCTGGTGCAGACCCAGTGTACCTCATGGTGGAGCCAGGCAAGGTGCTTGGGTTTCTATTTATCAGAATCATTGTCCTCAACGTTTTATTCTGAAAAATCTCAAATACACATATTTATTGGACTTTTAAGAACAACACTTCTAATTTTAACTGGTATGAGATTTTTCCATTTTTAAATTACTTTTAGTGCTAAGTTGTTAGAGGTGGAAGTAAGTTCATTTCATCACTGTAAAACCATGTTTTTTTTCAAAGTTGCAAGATTAATAGCTTGCTTTTTTGACCCTGCCTTCAGTAAATAGAAAACACTACAAATTTAAAGTGCATGAATGAAAATGCATGCTAATTGGTTTATAGAATGCTTGTCAAAATCTGTCCTCTGCATTTAAAGGTGCCTAGTACTGAAGTTGTTTGTCTGTGAGTTATGTGTTTCTTTTGTGAAGGTAAGACTTGTTGTGAGGCTCTGTGCTGATGGCTGTTGCTTGTGACAGTGGGGAGGTTGTTCCCTTGCCCACCACATCCAGTGTGTGAGTTTTGGCAATGTTCCTGCACTGTATGCCAATAAACTATTGAACCAAGTTAGCTCTTGCCTGTGCTGCTTCTCATCTCAATTTATTTAACTTAGTCATTGAGCAAGAGTAGAAGAAAAAAATTCATTATTTACTCAGGATTTTTCCCTTTATAACTATCTGATTATTTTACTATTTTACTTTTCCTATTTTTATTTCAGGGACTAATTTCATCTTTAGCTAACCTGGACCTTCAGACTTTTACCATATTTAGTTACATTTTAGGAACTATATTGTTGTTGTTGTTATGTGCCATCGAGTCGGACCCAACTCATAGCGACCCCTCCTTAGGTTTCTGAGGCAGTATCACTACGGAAGTAGATTGCCCAACCTTCCTTCCGAGGAGTGGCTGGTGGATTTGAACCGCCAGCCTTCTGGTTAGCAGTCAAGTGCCTTAGGCACTATGCTACCAGAGCTCCTAGGAACTATATAGTGGCCTGAAATTTAGACAAAACCTGTTGTGTGTTTATAAGGTTCTCCATTGAGATGCCGTTTTACCATGGTTGTCAAGTTTGTTTCATAACAATGTCAGACATCCACAAGGGAGCATGTATCATAGGCCCGAGGCCACCATGGAGAGTGTTTAGCTGAGCTGATTATGGTGCCCTTGCCCTGGGA